TTTTTTTCCTTTCTGACAGCATTGAGAAGTTCTGTGCTGAAGGGATCCCTCTTTTGGGTGTACTTGTCCAGTCTAGACATCTGAGAACAGTAGTCCACGTGCTGGATAAAATCCTACCCTTATTTTACTCTTGCCAGTATTATCTCTTGAAGAATGAACAGTAAGCATTATATATTCCTTATATGTTTATTGATCTAGAACAATGAAATCTTAACTCTTAAATTTATTAGACTGGGTTTTTTGTCCAGTGAGAATGTGAGGCAGAGGATGGGAAAGTAAGTCTGGATTCTTTGCAGAGTTATTTTTTGACACTGACTGTGGTTGAGGTAGTTGTAGAAGGGTGTCCTGCTCACGTGATGTGTACAGCTGTCACTAATGCTGCTGCTGTGCTGCAGAAGTGGTCTTCAGACAACTGTATTTACAAGTAGCTGTTTTGTTTACATACTACACACCAAGAAAGCAGGCAAAACAATTTAACTAGTCATTAAATCTTCAGGATGATTGTGAATCAAAGTCATTGTATGTGGTGTCACCAGTGTTGTTAAGCTGGTTTAAAATTTCCTAAAAGCGGGTTTTCTGTAATACGCAGTAGGAGAAATTTTAGAATTAATTTAATTTGTTGACATCTTTAGGTTTTTAACTTACATCCAACTGTTCCTTCATCTGGATAGTGGAGTCCCTCAAGGTGTGACCCAGCAGGTTACCCATAAAGTAACACAGCACTTGACAGGAATGAGCTATGGAGAAAATGTTAAGCTGCTGAGTAGTATGATACAGGTAAGAAGGCTATTAAAAAATAAAAAGGATGGGGGGAAGGGATTTTTTTTAAAAAAAAGGTAGCCTTTGGCTGAATTAGTGTTTACAATTAGAAGGGATAAAAATCTGGCAGTTCTGCAGCCATGGGGTATACTGCATCAAGCATGAACAGTTGGGTTTGGTTTCCTGAAATACTTCTGCTTAAACTTGCCTGTCTCTGTCAGTGCATGTGATATTGGACATAACAACAATATGTGCGTTCCAGACTAATTGAAAAATGTTTTCACCAAGTTTCAAGTCAGAACTACCTAGATAGGGAATGTAAAATGCAGGACTACTTTTTTGCTTGTGTTAGTCGAGGACTGCAGCAGATAAATTAATGGTTAAAAGCAAAGCTTGCAAACAGAAATATATGGATGTGGTATGAAAAAATGTTCTGTGTTAGGGAACAGTTGTTCTCTAACCTTCTTAAGAGAGGGTTCTTGCCCTCTCTGAAGTATTTTTTGTAAGAATAGGCACAGTAACATTTAAATAAGGACTATTTTGACCAAATTGAGGACGTCCCTTTAGAGGAACAGCAGACTACACTTCAGAAATAGGAACTTTTTATGCCTGCAGGTCACAGGGTCCTACGAGTAGCTAATTTGTAATGTGTCTGTTTTTGCTGATTGCAGAAGATGCTGAGCTCTCCAGGCTGCAGAATCTGCACACGTTTGGACATGGCAAAGCTGTTCGTACATGGGCATAGAGAGCATCATTGTAAATTATTTATTTTAAGGATAGGCCCACAGCCTTATGCAGGTTACATGGTTCTCCAATGAACTCAGGGTAAATTGAGATGAGATCTTAGGCAGAAGTTTTTCCTTGTGAGGGTGCTGAGGCGCTGGTACAGGTTGCCCAGAGAAGCTGCGTCTGCCCACTCCCTGGCAGTGTTCAAGGCCAGGTAGGATGGGGCTTGGAGCAACCTGCCCTAGTGGAAGGTGTCCCTGCCTGTGGCAGGGGATTGGAACTGGATGAGCTTTAAGGTCCTTTCCAACCCAAACTATTCCATGATTCTATGAAATTCTTAAGCTTTAATTAAGCTGCAATCTCTTGAATGATTTTTTCCTTTAATTTGGCAGACTCACATTTTTCTAAGTGACCAGCCAAATGGAGCAGGGCCGGCTGCAGTACTGGAGTTCTGGGTTCAGGTCCTCACCAGCCAGCAGCTGTGGCACAGGGACAGGGCCACACTTTTCTTGCTGGATGACTTATGTAGAGCTGCTTTTCAGTACAGCCAAGAGGACTGCGTGCAAAAGCTGCTTTACCAACAACACAAGGTAAGTGGGTGTGGTGTATTCGTGTGGCTGTTGAGTAAATGGTCAGTTCATGTGTTGCTTATTCTTTTTTTGATGTGAATATGTCTTCATGATGATGATTGGTAATGGGGCTATCTGATTTGGTTTTTAGTAGGTCAAGATTTGTAAAATGTCTGGTGTTTTAATAATAATTTCTTTAAAAATCTATTTGGAATACAGGTGTCATTCATACGAATTCTGTCACAATATTTTAGTTTGTGGTCTTTGCATTTCAAATGTGTGATAGTGTGTTTAGAACAAAAATAGTTTTCTGTCTTGAAAAATTGGACACTGTCACTATGACAGAATCTTCTCACTGGAAAAGAAATAAAGTACAAGCAGGCATTTCAGTGGTGGCTGGTTGAGCTAAGGCTAGGAAGCAGCAGTGTGAGGCAGAAAGGAACCTGGATGAAGATAGGGTGACATCCCTTTGGCTTGTAAATCATCTGTTAGGCTGCTTACAAAAAAAACCCAAAAAACCCCTAAACAAATGTTTTCTGTTTCCATGTAGAATGCTTTGGGCTATCACTGTGACAAAGGTCTGCTGTCTTCACTTGTCAGCTGGATTGTGGCTGGCAATGTTACACCTTCCTTTGTTGAGGGGAATGCCAATTCCTCTCAGGTAAGTGGTATGATGGTGTTGTATAAACAGCCTGGGGATGAACAATTTACAGGTGTCTAGGGTTTGGGCTGTTTTCTTTTTGCACATTTCCTTTTGTTCTCTCTTGCTTCCTATCCTAGTGTTTGAATTTTCTTGTGATAAAATCCTAATTTAGCCTAAAAGAATGCTGTGGGTTTATAACACTAAAGTGAACATGGACATTTTGCATAGAATTTGTCTAATCCGTGTCAAAGAATTCGTATAATAGGAATTATTAGTTAAGATTTCTTTTACTATTTAATTGTTCTCAATATATTTAATGAGAAAAAATACATAAAGCCTGTCTTATCTGTTAGATCATTGGATCATTTTGGACACTAGTTGCTTTCTCTCTGCTTAAATGAGTTCCTCATTGCAGTACTCCAACTGGAGATGTATAATGCAGGTTGGAGAGAGGAGATCTTATTTTACGGGGTGTGAGCATGTTGTTTCCTTGTTTCCTTCAGAACTCTCTGAATAATTCTGTCAGTTGTTCCTGGTTTCCCCCTTCTTTATCAAACTTGTACAAAATACAAAGGGGAAGTTTGAATGTAGATAAGGAGGGAACTGGTGTTTAGTTTTCTTACTGAGATATGATGATGCTTTTGCAACTTCGTAGTGGAAATCTAGCAGAGACATACTCCTCTTAAGAAAACAGCAAGCTCCCAGATCCTACCTGTGCCATTTTGTGATCAGTGTTTCTGTTGTCACTGTGTTGTGCAGGTCTGGTTTTCATGGGTGGTGTTAAACATGGAGTCAATATTTGAAGAAGATTCACAGCTTCGCAGAGTTGTGGAACGGGAGTTGGTTATTAATGCTTTAACTCCTGATCAAGCTTTGAAGGTGAGAGAACTTTTCATCTGCTTTTATTAGAGAGAACTGCTGGAGAAAAGTGTTCTCTTGTATTGTTTAGTTTTTATCTTGTGCACTGTTTCTTACCAGGATAAAATGTTTATCTGGTTTTCCAGAAGAAAGTATACTGCAGGGAAGTTTTCTTTCACATTTTGACTTGAACATTTAAAAAATACCATGCAAATACCTGGTTTTTAATACACCGCTATTTACGGAAAACTTCAGTCACTAATTAGTGCTTTTGCATGATTTTATGGGTTATCTGAATCCCTCATGGTCTTCAGTGGGTTTATTCTGCACCACTGAAATGGTAAGTGCAGATGCCCTTATTTTGCAGATGGCAAAATATGTCTGTATTTCAAAGAGCGTTTTCAGATGATCTGAATTTTGCATAATTCTGAGCCTTAATTGTTTCTGTATTTGCCAAATTATTTTCCAAGACTTTCAGAACTGTTTAGTTCTCTCCCTTAACAAAGCACTTAGGTGTGCTGTAATTCACGTTACAGCATTTTCCAGGTTCTTTGCCCAAATTCAGCTAGAAATTCTGGAATGAAGCAAGTGGAAACCAAAGCTGTCCAGTCTCGTGGTGTAACTTTTGACTTATCCATCATATCAACTGTTGCAGTGTGTTTAAATGAAGAAGGTAGTCTAGAAACTCTGTGAAAATAGGTTTGCTTGGGCTATGTCCAGACTGGTACATATCTTGCATCCTTGGAGTCTAGTCTGGAGAACATTTGTCCCTTGGCTTGCATGTCTTGCTTTAGCTGGGGTGCAGTGAGATAGTATGTGGGTAGTGTGTGGAAAAGGATGCTGAGGGTTCCTGATACCATTCCCCATACCATACCATTCCCCTGGTATGGGGAATGAAGAAATGCCAATGTCTATGCTGAAATTTGGGAACTCAGAAAAGCGTCCCATTTGCCCACTTTGGGCATAGTCCATGGGAGCTTGATGTGTGTCTTAATCATTTAGTGAGTTCATGGAGTAGTGTCCTGTCTTGCTAATACAGAGTGCTGCTACTCGTGTTGCTTTGCCATTGTTCTGTTTTTGCAAAAAGAAATTGTTTTTCCTTCTGTATTCTTTCTTCATGTTAGTTTTACTTTATGTTTTAGATTCTCAATGGGGCTATATGGAATGTAGTCTGGAAAAAAACTAAAAGTATCATGCTGTAGGATTCTGTGTCCTCACATGGCTTAAGACTTATTTTTGCTGGTTGGAACATGATGTGTGCTTCACTACTGCTGCTTTGATCTCTAACATCACCTTGTGTCTTATGGAAGTCTAAACCAGGAGCCTCCTGTGAGGAGGAACAGTAATTAACTGTAGTTAACATCAGTGGTCCATATGTTGCCCTTGCATCACAGAGCTATCATGCCATTTATATTTTTAAGCATCAGGGGTGTTGCACTGCACTCTTAACAGCTGTTCAACATAGCTGTAGCTCTTCCTCTAAGACCTGTAATGGATGCATGAATGCTTCCAAGCTTTAATCCTCTGTAATGGCTGAGTTTTCATGCTGTGTTAATCTGTCAAGTTAACCTGCAACAGCCTGTTACAGGGAGCTGCAGCAGAATGCTTGTCTGAAAATGTTCTTCCTGCAGAAAGCCCAGGCCCAGCTGAAGCTGCCCATTGTGCCCTCCCTCCAGCGGCTCTTGATTTACCGCTGGGCTCACCAGGCCCTTGCTACCCCTGCTGATCACCCTCTCATGCCACTGATCTGGCAGAAGTTCTTTCTCATTTACCTTCACCGACCAGGACCACAGTATGGGTGAGTCTGCAAGTGAGATGAAGTGTCTCACACTTAAGACTGCACCTGAGAGCAGTGGGTGCCAGCAACTTCTCTAGAGTCAGTTTATTTGCAGAGATGCTGATTTGACACTTGAAACGAGACTTTGTTCTGTTTTTCTGTTAATTTTTAGATTACCTGTAGATGGCTGTATTGGAAAACGTTTTTTTCAGAGTGCAGCTCATGTTAACTTACTCAGGGAGATGAAGCAGCGCTTAATAGAGGTAGCAGACTTCCACCATGCTGCCAGTAAAGCACTGAGAGTGGAGAGCCCTGCAGAGGACAGTGACAAATCACCAGGCAAGGCGAGCTGCTCACCAGATTACCTGACTTCATCAGAACTGCATAAGGAACTTGTCAGGTACAAAAAACTCCTGCTCAGTTCAATCATATTCAATGCAACCACCTGAGCAACTACTACAGCATAGTCTTAACAGTGGGAGACATGAAGGGATGTGACCCTTGGCTGACCTCATGTACTGCAGGCACTTGTTATATGCATAGTTGTGGTCAGATCTGTTCATTTTTTGATACTACTTGTTTTGAGAGGGGAGCTGATTTTACTACTGAAAACTGAACATTGTTGATAGAGTTGTTGCTTCCCTTAGGGGAGAGCTTTGCTTTTTAATTAATGGTATCCCTGTGCTTGTAAAATACTTGTTGTTTAATTGTACCTGCTAACAGTATGTCTATCACTAGCTATACATGTAAAATGCTACTTTGTGTGTATACATCTGTTTGTCACAGACCAGGGCATAAATTTATGTCTGAGTAAGATTACTTCATCAGGGAATTTATGGGGGACTTCAACATGTGATTCAGTTAGTGTAGTTCACTCAGTTAGCATGCTAAAGTTGAGCTGTGACAAGTGTGTGCTGTGCCAGCTGGAAAGTAATGTGTCTGCTTAACCTAAACCTTAGCACAAGAGGACAGTTGTGTTGGAGTAGGCTAAGGAGATGGACACGGTCACTCACTGTGACTCAGCTGATCAGTGCTCACTTTCATAAGGGGAGGTAACTCCCAAGAGCTATGTTACATCCTGTACTCTGGAACTGCAGCTGTGGTGTTCAGGAGTCTGTGGTTCTGTTATACAGAGGCTTTTGGTCTGGGAAGTCTACCTTAAAAAACACTTGCAGCAATACAGCATCTGAATATTCCCAGAAGCTAGTTGAAAGGACTATTTGGAAAAAGTCCCTTGTTCAGGGGGTTTGTGCATGTGGAATATGAGCTTCTTTTAAGTGCCTCCACCTCCTGCTTCCCCCAGCAGTCAGTAGGTACTATAGAAACAAACAAGAGAGATCATAAATCCTCCTTGGGCATTTGTGAAAAATAATCCGGAGATGCTCACTGGATGTAACTTGATCAATATTTTCAGTCTTTCATTTTAAAGGGGTTCCCTATTCCAACATAAAACCAGACTGCTCTGAAGCCAAGTAAATCTGCTCTGGAAGTTTAATGACCACCTAGACAGGAGGGAAAATATTGGTAGAGTTCATAAGGGCTGAACTCTTCGAACTAGACTACTTCAATTTTTCCAACAATGACATTGACACAGAAAACATGAGTTTTCTAGTGATATTTAATATCACAGTGTGAAGATATAGTACATTCTAGTTGTTCCTTGTCAGGAAAGCTTGCATCGTATGACTATAAAAAGGGTACCACTCAATAGAATTATGCCAATTGAAAAATGAGGTATATTTATGTTAAAGTACAGTGTTAGCAGTGGAGAAAATGCAAAAAAACTACCCATGAATTTGAGTCTACAAAGAAATTAAAAGATGTGTGAACTTCTGGAGTGGGCACTCTTGAGAAGTCATGGGGTGAGAAGCCAGACTTGCTTGAATGTTCTGTTGTTTCCTTTGGCCTTTGAATGGGGTTGTGGATGAGATTCCCTGACATAAGAGGCTATTCCAGTCCTGGGTCATGTGCTAATTTGAATAACTGTTTTTGTTTTCAAAATTTGTCCTGTTACGCTTTGTTACTGCCCTTCTTATTTTTCTAAATAGCTTCTTTCCACTGCTGGTCTTTGAACTGACACTTAGTAAACTAGTCACAAAGCATCTGAAACATTGACATTTTGAGCCATGTCACCTTGTACATGTCACCTTTGTTGCCTTAATCCCAGAATGAGACTGCTGTATAATACATGCTATGCATACAATTAAAGTTCACATTGATTTTTTTTTTTCCTTCTTTTTGTTTTTCTTCTCAGGCTTTGTAATGTTTTTGTTTTGTGGTTGGAAGAAGAGAGTTTCCAGAAAGGAGACACATACATTCCTTCTTTACCGAAGCAATACGATACACACAGACTTGCTAAAGTCATGCAGAATCAACAGGTGAAGGGCTAAAGACACTGGCAATCTGGAATTCAAAATTCACTTCACTTCTTAAAAGGGGTCTTCTAAAGTAGTGAGAGACTTGGTGTCTCTGGTCTTTAATACGCATACAGCATGTGTGATACCTTCACAGCTCAGACTTTTTACCTAAAATCCTGTGCTATCCCAAACTGCCTTCTTTTATATTTGAGTGAGGACTCATGAGTAGATTTCTTGCATTTCTTAATGAGAACACAGTCCTTACTCTGTACTGCTCTGTAATTCTGTTTTATGTTCTAAGATAATTTTCGAGAATTATTTAAGTTGGAACTTTAAATGACAGAAGCTGAAATCTGCTCATGTTGGTAGCATGTAACATGTCAGGTTCAAACATATGTTACCAAGTGGGAAGTGTATATTATTCTGTCCAGTAAAACTAAAGAGTTAGTGTAATAAAAAATATATGAGAGAGGAGATTTTGGAAGGGCTTTTCCTCATTCGTGCTTTTTATTCCTCCAGTGTATGTGACAACTGGAAGTGCAGCCTGCTTTAGTCTGGTTACAGTTAATCATACCATGATGTTTTAGACTATCTTGGTTTCCTCTGTGTTCCTTTCTTAGGAACAGAGTTTTAAAAATCTGTACCCTTTTTCTCTTATTTGTTAGAAATTATACTGAGTGTGCTCAGATTGCTTCCTGTGTCATGAATGCTTTCCAATGGCTCATCCATATATGTCATAGAGAATCTCCATCTTTTTTCTTCAGTAGATATATGTATTTTCCCATAGTAATCATTTTTATTATGTTTTAGTTCCCCGGTTACTGGGGTGGATGCACAGTATATGGTACTCACCCAAATGGGAATGATAATTTAATTCTTCTTTGCTTTAGGATTTGTGGATGGAGTATGTCAATGTGGAACTTATACACCATGAGTTTCAGGAAGCTCTAAACCTTTGGCTGCAGGTTCAGCTTGAATCACATACAGCCTGTGTTTCTGCAGGGCAAACAGATTTCACCAACCCTTTATTAGGTATGACGTAAGACTATTATTATTATTGGAACTGGGCCACAAAGAATTATGAGCATGTTGAAGCCCTGGTTTCTTTAGGAACGTAATGATATCTGTGAATAAAGATTTAATACAGTTTGTTTTCTATGAGTGCAGTGTTTTGTGTGAAGTGTTCTCACTAAAATGCTCAAGGTAAGAGGCTAACATCGATGTTTTTGGCTTAAAGCTTGCCATTCACAGAACAGCAGGTCACGTTGTGTCTAGAGCTTTGTAGGTGAGCTCCTCAAAGGTGCGTCTGCACAGAGCGTGCTCCAGACAGGCTGAATATTCCTGAAGTTGAGACAGAGACAGCTCCAAGCAAAGGCAGAAAGCAGTGAAACTGAAAGCAAGAATAGTGTCTGGTTTGTTTTTTGGGTTTTTTTTTTTTTTTTTTTTTTTTGGTTGTTGTTGTTGTTGTTTTCGATATCTTTCACTGGAATTTCGCATGATGAAATGGTTGTTCTTGTACAAAGGGGATAGATAATAGTCATGGTAGGCATATTAAGGATATAGTGAGATAGGATATTTTTTTGGGGCTGATTAAAAAAAGGGAGGAAAGGAGTAGAAGAAAACTGGAATAGTTTCATAGGTGAATTGGCACTGTTTGGGCAAGGGAACTGAATGAGAATCAGAGGAGAGAGCTGACCTGGAGACAGGCTGTGCTTTCGAGAGGAACTTGGGCTTACAAGGCTAGAGGTGAGGGTGAATTGTAAGGAAAGGAAGATGAATTGGCTTAGACTCGATCTGGGATCCTCTGTTGGATGAGGGGAAAAAATGGGGTGTTGAGAGGAAAATTGGAAGGATGGAAGGTAGGAGTGACTGGGGGAAACAAGTTGAGCAATGGGTCCTTGGTTCTTAATGTTTGTGTGGTGCAGCTGGTCTTGAAAATTAGCTGTATGAAATAAACTTTGTCAACCAAAATAGGAAGATTAGCTAAGGGGTTTTTATTTTCTTTTTAAAGGAGGAATCCTGAGCAGTATTTGTCTGCTGCTGAAGATGGTCCACGCGAAACAAATATTTTTGTTCAGTTTCTCCTGAACTCTTCTTACTGACAAAACTTGCTGTTGCTTTCTTCTTTAGCCAAAGAGAGGATAATAAATAATTTGAAGAAGTTTGATACTCCCAAGCCCCCTCTTCTGCTCCAGACGATGAAAGCTCCTGTGCCAGTTATTTCCTCTGCCAGTCTACTAAGTCAGAAAGAAGCAATTCAGCTCATGCGTGTGGACCTTAACATCTTGCAGCGACATGCCAAGTAAGACATAGCTATTTCCCTTCTGCCTCACGAGCATATCTAGTGGTATCTTCAGGTGCCCTTTACAGCAGCCTCCTTTGTGTTGGCACAAGACTGTCACTACTTGACACTTCACTTTTTTCCTTTCTTCTTGTCTATCATGTTGTTATTCCACTCCTTTATCAAAGATAAGACTACTCAAGTCTTATCTAATGACTGAGATTGCATCAGCTGACATCTATCATCCGCAGTTTCTTTTCTCATGTGGCATAGTTCTTAAAATAAAGCCTCCTTTTAGCCTGGATTTGTTGACAATTAGTTAGTTAACCCTTTTGCAGTAATGTAGTATCTGCAGTATGAAGTGCTGGAGTCCCCAAGAGTGAAATTCTGGGACTGTTAGCTTTGTGAGTGAAAGAGACTTCAGTATTCTTTCTGCGAGAATCCATCTGAATTATTTTCAAACACAGCTGATGAATCTACAGATGTTCTCGTCCAGTAACACTATAATTTAATTACAGTATTATAAACCAACATAAAACGTGCTAAACCTAAGAGAGAACGTGTCCAGACAATTCCAGCAGTACTTCTAGGTAGGCTTTTTTTTTCTTTTCTTTTTTTTTTTTTTTTAATTTTTTTATTTTTTGATTGAATAATCCCACAGTCCAGCTTTTTTTGTCTGGTGGAAGATGGCATTTCCTACAGAGGGTGATCTATTTAATTTCTTTCCAGGTTACCATATAGAAGAATTAAAAAGAACTTATGCAGACTTGAGCAGTTTTGTTCTTCTGAACCTATTTCTTTCTTGCTTTGAAGTGCTGTTACTTTGAATGTTTAACTCAATTTTATGTAATAATCTTACTTTCAGAACTGCAGCTCTGTGGGAATCTCAGCATGTTGCTCTTAATAGTGAAATATTGGACACAGTACCTAAGCTGTATGTCAATCGGGAAGAGCAGATTACCCTTCATTTGGAGTGCCGGGGAACTTCAAATAAAGGCTGTCAGGGAGCAGCTCTCCTAACCATCCAGGTACAAACATGTCTTCACTTCTGGTTTGGAGCTGTTGGACATAGATAATTAAAGTGAATTGACTGAATGGTTACAAGAATGGTAGCAGTTGACTAAATAAAGCCATACACACATAACAGTTACCTGAAATATTTTGTATGTAATGCTCAAATGGAGATGCAGGTCAGAAGGTGAAGGGTAAGTTGTTGCATAAAGTTTGCTTTGCTCATAGCATCCATTCTAAAGTGTTTCCGAATGAGTGAATGTGGGAATATGCTCACTGATGCCCCATCCCTGGAAGTGTTCAAGGCTGAACTGGATGGGGCTTTGAGCAACCTGGTCTAGTGGAAGATGTCCCTGCCCATGGCAGGGGGTTGGAACTGAATGAGCTTTAAGGTCCCTTCTAACCCATTCTATGATAGGAATAGAAGCATGAAAATGCTTATAGAAATATTCCCATGTTGCTTGATACATGAATTTCTTGATCCCCTCTACATTTCAGTCCCTGTGGATTAAAAGTCTAACATAAAAGCCATGAATTACATTAGTGTATGATAACTAAACAGGAGCATGACCAAGGATGTGTGCTTGATCAAAGCTCTTGGAGGTGTAGGGGGAGACATCTATATTCAGAGTTCTACTGGGCTCTGCTTCATTTGCACAAATAGGTGCTACATTGAAGAGTTATTAAAAAAAAAATACTGTGAAATGAACATGTGTATTTTTGTCTTTTAGTTTGAAGGGAAACATAAAAATGAAGCAGTGTGCCAGCAGCTTCATGCTTTGCGTAAAGAAGTGAGACAACTGCGGGCAGAAGCTACAAAACCACCTTCTCTGGGTGTCGTAGAAGCAGCAGTACATGTGGAAAACTTTATAACGTAGGTTGTTCAAACACTGGTTTAGGTAGTGATGTTTCATATTTCTTTTTCTGTATGTTAGAGTTCAAAATACGGAACCTACCTGTTTGTGTGGTTTTCCATAATGGTTATCAGCTTGGGTCAACAGTAGAGCTGGAATGACGAGTCCTGTGTGTTTGTGATGCAGACATCTAAAGAAATAACTCTATTATTAGAAGGTCATTCAGCCTAAGAGGGGCACACAGTATTGTTTTCAATTTCTATTTATTGTACTGTGTATTAGAATAGCCCAAAAGCAAACTGAGTGGTGAGAGGGATGCTGTGTTAAACTTTAGGAAGTGGTGAATTCATACCACAGCTGTCTCAGCCATGGGCTAAATTACATGTTTTTCATATCTCTCTCTGTATTTTTTCCCTGTTACAATTAAGTTCTTTAATAGAGAGTTGTGATTGGAAGTAGGTTTTCAATATGTGAAATAAAACTATGCAGTGGAAGAGGACTATATAATACCACTTTTTTGAGAGAGTGGTGAATAAATGGATTAATCCAAACCCCTCTTCCTCTTGAAGACCTTTTAGACTTCATCCCAGAGGTCCAGTTTTGCAACACCATTCTTCTCCATCTTCTAGACTGGGATTTTTTAGGGCAGTTATTTTCCCACAGAGTGTACTCACAGTACAAGTGAAAATATTTTGTTGCTGTTTCTGTATGTTCATTCTTGCTCATTAATCTGAAAAATACTGTGGATGAGCTAGTTCTTCATATTTACATATGTGGAATTGCATTTCTTCAGATGTTTTAATTCAGACTCAGTGAAGATGGGGGTTTGAGCTCAACAAAACACTTATTTGGCAATACATAAAAAAAGATTGTTCCTGTTTTAATTCTTCTGCTGAGCTTGTTAAGTAGAATGAGGTAAATCTTGCAGTACAGATGTAGTAGAGGTGGCCTAAAAACATGAAGAACATGTGATTTGAGGGAGAAAAAATCTGTTGGAACTATGCTGTGAAAAACCTTTTGATGATCACTTTCTGACTCTGATTATGAAGACTTTCTGAGGTTTGAAGGCAGCAAAATTAATTGAGCTCAACAGGGGCTGTTCAGCCTTGAGATGAGAAGGCTCAGGGGCTCAATGTATAGAAATACCTGAAGAAGGGATGCAATGTAGATGGAGCCAAGTTCTTTCCACGGTTGCCCAGTGACAGGATAAGAGGCAGTGGGCACAAACTAAGACACAAGAGGTTCCCTCTGAACATGAGGAAGCACTTTTTTACTGTGAGGGGTGACACAGGCTGCCCAGATACGTGGAGTATCCATCCTTGGAGATACTCAAAAGCCATCTGGACATAGTTCTGGGCCACTAGCTGTAGGTGGCCTTACTTCAGCAGGGAGGTTGATCCAGATGTCTTCCAGAGGTCCCTCCCAACCTCAGCCATGCTTTGATTCTGTGAACCCGTGCTTGATTATCATGTAAGCCAGAAATACCCATCTCAAGGCTATACACTGGCAAGAAACCTTTCTTTATTTTTACAGATTATTTTCCATGTCTAAATTTAATCTGTGCTTTTTTAAATTTTATTTTTAATCCTTTCAGGGCCTTAATAAATATCTACAAGGTGCAGCCTATGCCTGCAATCAAGAAAGTTGGAATTAGTTTGTTTTTTACGTTAGTGGAGTATGTGTGTGACGAAACTCAACGCAATCCTCCCACAAGGCAGTTCTTCACATCATGCATTGAGATTCTAGGCCAAGTGAGTTTATTCTCCTGATTTTTGGATGTCTAATGCTTATTTCTGTTGCCTGATGATGTTGGGGGTCTAAAACATTCAGAAACCTGAAAATTAACTTCTAAGCTTCATTCAGTTTTCCTTTCAACCATTTGTATAATATACAGAGTCTTTAGGAGAGTTTAAGCTTACATATAAGCAAAATAGAAACTTGCTCTGAGATGCCTGCTTAGTGCTAATAAATGCTCATTGTGTTAGCTAAATGCTATGGTAGACTGGATTTTTGGGCAGGTAGCTAAAGTTTGGGTACTTTCAGTGCATAAGAGTGGTTTTGGCATATATTTTGCTGTTACCAGTAACTTTCTAGCTGATGTATATCTTGTCAACCTAGACATCTCTTGTCTACAGCCTTGCAGTATTTTTTGTGTAGGGAGTTAGCCGGAAGTTTGGTAGAGAACATAAGTTCTTGTTTGTGGTGATAGTGTTATCTGTGGGGAACACATCACATGGTGCTCTGAGAAAAAGCATTAGCCTCTGCTTTTGGTCCATGTATTTATTTTCATCTCTCAAATACATTTTTTTTCTCCCCACAAGCAGCTGTCCTTAAGTACCTCTAGCAGCTGACGTGATAAAAAGCTTTTCACAGCCCTAGTTCTGCTTAAATTTTTCCTAATATTAGGCAGGGCTGCTGAAACTTGGATTACTTTATTTAGCTATCCCATCAAAGAAACTGTATTTCTAGGTATTTTTAGACAATGTGTGGTCACAAGTGCTGTTCTTCAGTGCACTAGGGAAGCATGTTTATTTTACATGATACCTTGTGGAACAACTTGTTTAGTTGGTTGATGATCTCATACAGTCTGTCGTTTTTTGAGAAAATCTTTCTTTTTAATAAAGACCAAAACTCTGCTTGTCTTGACAAACAGCTCCAAGAGGTGTGTGTTCCAATAGATTCATACTAAGGTACTTTTCTCACCATTCCATATTTCCTCAGGTGTTCATCAGTGGGACCAAGTCAGAGTGTCAACGCCTCCTCCAGACAATCCTGCAGAACCGGAGGCTCTGTACTCTGCTTTCTCCTTACTTCACTCCTGTTGCCTCTCCCAGTGAATTTGTGGCTTTATATGAAAAAGTCGTGGCCTTTCTGAGTGAGGATAACAGTGATGTGGTCTTCATGCTGCTGACAAAGGTAAAGTACTCGTGAATACTGTATCTGCTTTGTGGGTTGCTTTTGTGGGTATTTTTCCCTAAAGACCTTGACTTCAGGCTAAGGAAGAAAGAGGTGCAAATGTAGTACTTTAAAATAACAGTGACAAGTTCTGTAGTTCGATATTGCTCATCCTGAACGGTATTATGTTGTATTTAAGCTCAAAAGGGACTGAAAGCAAAAGCAAATAGGAAGCTTAAGCTACTCTTTCCTAGCCCAGATGTATTAGTATGTGCTTCCTAGGAGTTAATCTTCAGTGCACGCTTACTCTTGAAATTAAAGCAGACTTTCAATAGCTTCTTCTGTCTGACATCTCTGCAGAGACATTCATTACATAGCCACTGAATCCCAGGTATCTTACCAAAATATTTTTTTAATTTTTTTTTTTTAATTATTTTTCTCTTTGATAAAACACTTTGAAATAGTGTCTGAAACTTCCATCTCTGTTTGACACCCATGTCCTTCCTGCCTGTCTTAAAACATAACCTAAGAGCAAGTGATTTGCACATCTCTTACACAGCTGCAGGATTCTGCCTACCTGTAGTGCCACTGGAGAAATTCCTGTTATACTTAGGCTTTGGTGTGACTGATTCTCTTCATCAGTTGCACAGAGACACAGGGTTTGGCAGCTGTGAATAACAGACAGTCTATTTTGAGCACGGCGCTGAGCTGTTCTTAGTGGCAGTGATCAGCATAGTCCCTGCTAACCTAGATCTGAGCAGATGGTCTAAAGGCTATGAAAACTTTGTGCCTTCACCTGAAAATTTTTGAATTATGGAGGGTAACCTAGTCTAATACTTTTAAGTGTTTGCTTGGCAGTGCTACTGAAGCATGGAAATTGATACACATCTTTATGAATCAGATGCTAAGTCGTAACCTTTGGAGAGCATTACCTTTGTTTTTTAGTTGGGGATAATGATGTGCAGATTAATTTTTTCTTAAATATATAAAAACTTCAGGATTCCACCCCCCCCC